ACTCCCAGGTGGCTGAAGCATCAGGTTTTGGTAGGTAACAGGTCCTAATATCACACTGACAGCAGAGAGGGGAAAAGGCAGGACTGTAAGAAGATCAACAATTTTATGCTTTGATCTGACAGGGAAATAAAATGCTCTGACAGAAAAGGCCACAGATAAATCTGAATTTGTAAACTCTGCCAAGAACTAGTCCTGATTCAACGATCAAAAACACCACTGCATGAGCATCATCAGGAATGAAAGACCACAAAACTTAATGCCCAGTAAAAATGACATTTGTTTCCAGACCATCTTTAAGGGAAAGAAACAGAACCTCTAGGAAGGAGGAAAGAAGCAGAAGTCAGGAAAAAAATGAAGTTAGCACTGAGGAGGAAGTTTGACTCCCTAAAAGCTACACCTCTCCTAATAAAATGTCTAAACTAGTGGGAAGAGACTCTCAAGTCTTCTCCCTCAGATCCTGCTGACATGCCCTGGCACAATTACAGTGTCAGAGAGGAATCAGTGGCTAATGCAAATATCACAGACTAAGAACAGTATTGCATGCACAAATTCAACATATTTTCTTCAGTCTTCCAGTCAGAGAAGGCAGGGAGGGACTACCTGTGACTTCAGGGAGTCAGGAAAAGAAAGCAGGAAAAGAAAGAAAGGGGTTATTTAAAAACAAACAAATAATTATTTGAGGCAGGTAGAAATTAATTGCAGGAAGGTTAAAAATAAGGATACTATGGGACACATAGGATTCACACCTCACAGAATCAGTTAGGTTGGAAGGGACCACAGTGGGTTATGTAGTCCAAGCTCTCTGCTCAAGCAGGGCGAGCCCAGAGCACATGGCTCAGGATTGTGTCCAGATGGCTCTTGAAAACTTCCAAATACCTCACTTTTCTCTGTTTTAATCACAGAGAATGAGACATGTTCTTAAAGCATCAGGACTGAGGCCTCTCAGCATTATCAGAAAATATAACAGTGACTGTTATTAGTTGTGGCAAAGTGTCTGGGCATTCTCAGCTGGCCTAGTTTCAGCACATACTGTTTTGCTTCAAATGCAATCAACAAATTCTATGAAGTTGTTTATTATTGCAAAATGTATGTTCTCTTGCATTAAAGCACAAGAAATAAAGCATGACCATCATGTTTTGCAACTAATTTATTTTTTTCTCCTTTTTTAATCTGTCTTACAAGTTCACCATGACATTTTAGTGACAACAGTGCTAAACTAACTCAAAACACAAAAAGAAGACTAATTAAAAATAGGCAGACAGAGAACATCATGATACATTGGCATAAAATTATCCCTTCAGTGTCCTTTGTAAAAACCCTGCTAAAAACCCAACATTTGCCATGGCAATACTGAGTCAGATTGTTTTATAATATATATAATTATATATGCAGATCCTCACTGCACAAGCAGTTGGTTAGTGCTTGTACTCCACACTTAAGGCAAGAAAACATTTTGCTGCTTTCTTGGAACAAAACTTGTGTCACTGAACTGAAGTTCTGACCACCACAAATTATAGATCTTAAAAACCTATTTGCTTCCTCCTTTTTCCCCAGAACTTTAGAATCATAGAATTAACCAGGTTGGAAAAGACCTCCAAGATCATCAGGTCCAACCCTACCATGGTCACTAGACCATGGCACTAAGTGCCATATCCAGTCTCACCTTGAAAACCTCCAGGGATGGTGAATCCACCACCTCCCTGGGCAGCACATTCCAAAGCCTGAGCACTATCTCCATAAAAAATCTCTTCCTAATATCCAACCTAACCCTTCCCTGGCAGAGCTTGAGTCTGTGCCCTCTTGTCCTGCTGCTGGTTGCCTGGGAGAAGAGACCAACCCCCACCTGACTCCAACCTCCTGTCAGGGAGTTGCAGAGGGTGAGAAGGTCTCCCCTGAGCCTCCTCTTCTCCAGGCTGAACACCCCCAGCTCCCTCAGCCTCTCCTCATGGCACTTGTGCTCCAGTCCCTTCACCAGACTCGTTGCTCTTCTCTGGACCTGCTCCAGCACCTCAATGTCCCTCCTGAACTGAGGGGCCCAGAGAGGAATCACTCAGAGTTGTTAGCATTTCTTACTACTGAGTACACGTGATGGAAATGGTTCCTCTCATCGTAGACAGGACTTTTTGCTCTTACGGATTCTTTGGCAATGGTAACTGAGCTGCTGGGCAGACTCTGCACGCTCTGAACCAGCATCAGCCCTAGAGTAAGTGGAAAGCAGTTGTTACATGTGCAGAACTCGACGCCTTTTGGGAAGGAGGGTAGCAACACCTACTGGTCACGATGCATACTGAACACTGCTGTGGTTTTGGGGTTTAAATCAACAATTTTAAACAAGAGCTTTTTCTTACTAGAAACCATGGCTACATTACTGCTAAAATATATCAGCACTATTAATTTCTGAATCCTATCAGTAAATAACTGTCCATAATATGAGCTGAGCTCAAGGTTTCAATGTAAAATGGAACTTAATGAGTCTTCCTGACGATTCCTTTATGTGACTGAAGGATTTGCATTACACACCCTAACGTGCACAAAGACCTCCTTCATCACTGATCATTACCTGCTCAAAGCAACTCAAGGACTGCCCAATCTGAGCAGGAACATGGTGGGGTTTCTACTCTATATAAAGACCTGCAAAATATTCAAACAGCTGCTGCAATTCTTCAGTGTTCCTCAAGGCATTCCCTTCATCTGCACAATAAGTTTTTCTTCCAGATTTTACTTGGAATAAAATAGAACAAAACATATACAACAACTCTGGATTCACCTCATCCCTTCCAAAACCAAACTGCAGGGCACAAAATTTCAAACAGCATCTGCAGAAAACACTGAATTGAAAATTAAACTGTCCTCAAATCTTAGTGTTTTAAATCAACTCTAACAAATCTGCATTCAGCTGCTGCATTTAAGGCTTGCTTTAAATTTCCACTTAAAAAAATATTGTGTTCATTTTTTGAAGCTGTGTCTGTGGGCCTTCTGATACACTAGCCTTAGGCATCAGAAGTTTTCCTGGTTCTCATCCAACTTTGGAAATAATATCTGCTTGCTTCAGGTGTTAAAAGGATTCATACATTATTTATAAGGACTGCTAAAATCTAACTCCTGGATCTAACTTGCCAAGAGAAAGAGTATAAAAAGTTACATATAAAAAAAAAAGCACAACTGTCCCCATTTCAATTTTTAGCCTCTCTTTTTGTGTCTCAGTGTATCACTAGGCTGAGCCTGGAACATTCATCTCTCCCTCCCCGTGTGCAGATATTCGTCGACAGCTGCTTTGAACCTGCTGGATGTGACTTTTCTTGCATATTTTAAGGTATGATTTTCCAAGTTTAAAAAACAAGAGAAAAATGCAACACTGTTGGGCACTTTGTTACCCTTGGAAGATGCTGAATTTCCCTGACAGAATGGTGTTTGTTTACCTCCTGACAAATCAGGCTAAAGACAGTACCCAGAACAGGGGAGGTAAAATCCCTACTCACTTCTCAATGTTTTCTTCTCCTGTACTGCTATAAATACTGTCTACATAGATATTTACATTTTGTTTCTGATTTAAGAGAGTTCATTGACAGATTTTAGAAACAACCCCTTTAACAAACTTCACAAGGGTGAGATTTTAGGACCTCCTTACCAGTTTGAGAAAATGTTTCTGGTTTGAACAGCAGTTTCACTTCCTGGGCTGGATTAAGGCAAGAGACACTGAAATGCTATTGATCTATCTAATGCAATTAAAGGAAACAGAAAAATAAGGTCTACAGAGCTTCAGAAATACTCACCAGCATGACTAATTCCTCAGCTTGTTACTGGAATGAGCATATTTGTTCTGAACACTAAACCCACTGTACCTGACAGCACTTTACACCTCAGACAGCTGTTCCTGACTACAATTTCACTTAGTCTAACTGGAGCACACAGCAACTGCATCCAGCTGGCTGAACATGATGTATGAAAGCCTGAACAGACACTTCCTACAGCTTCTCAACCAATGGAATGAGACACTTGCAGCAGTACAGCAATGGATTTCCTTCAGCCAGGAAGGTGATGTTACTTATGCTCACCTTAACACTGGGCAGAGTTTTTACACCTATTTCAATGTACAGACTTTGAGACCTTAGTTCTTGTAAAAGAACAATAAGTAGAATAGAGCATGAAATCCTTTCTGTCCCCGTGAAATTATCAGTTAAATAAGCATCTTGTTTGGATTGCACCTCTTCATTACACTCTTTTGGAAAATAAAGTTTCTGTCTGGGATTTTTATACCTAATCAACAAGCTTACATGAATTTATTTCCCCCCAAAGTATAGTTGGGTGCTGTTCAGTATTCAAAAGGAAAGTCAGACTAGGTCACATTTCTGAAAGGTCTATCTTATAAGCAATCAACTCTCATGTAACTGAAAAATAGAGAAAACAATTTTGCTTTTTCCACTGCTACAGTTAAAATTCTCAGGCTAAATGAGAATAGTTATATAGGTGGTTTCACTGTCTCCTCAAGCCCTGCCCCTGTGGGACAAGAAAGGGAAGGAACAGCTGGAACAGTGATGACGAAACCCATATCAATGTTAGCAAAGAGAATTAAAAGCAAGCACAGTGCTCCTAAACAATTCTTACTTCCTTATTTTCTACCTGAATTCGTTTTAATTCGAAAATGTTTGGTTATCATTTTGTGCTAAATTTGCCCCAAGGAAGAAGAAACAGCTGTCAGGAGCTGGGAATGCTGTGCCAGTCTCACCAGCCTTCCTTCTACCTCTACCAAATCACAGAAGTACCTGCAAGAGGGAGACTAACACAGAAAAGGTAACATGTATTAACACTGTATTTTGACACGAGTTAACCCTGAAGGAAAGTAAAAGAGAGGAAAACAAACTTGCCACAGCACTGCTACCCGTTTAGCCCCTGTGGGTCCTCTCCAAGCCACTGCCACGGAGCAGCACAGCTCCACCTCCTCCAGGAGGATATTCAAACACACAGGGACCAAAACCGAAAGCAAAGGATTAATTTCGCACCTTCTTGAGAGGAGACAATAGGTGGCAAATAATCAGGGATGTACTCCTTCCTCTCCTCTGCATCCTTACTTCCCGGCTGGGGAAACTGCAGGACATTGTTCTTGCTGACAGGAAACGAAGGGATTTGATGTGCAAAAGTGACAGGTTCGATGTTGTGTATGTAATCTTCCAGCTCGTGCAGGTTCACCCCCATAAGTTTGAAGGCATCACCCACGTCATCCAAAATCGGATCCGTGCGGCCATCTGCAACAAAAACACAACAGAACAACAATATTTCTGCCAAACTCTGGATTAAAACAAACTGCCCTGCAGACCTGTGCTCAGTGATCCCAGTCCCACAGCTCAGCACCAGGGAGAGCTGGATTTACTGCCCCACAGTTCCACCAGGTCTGTTTTCAAAAGGGTTTTGTTTGGACCTGTATCACTTTGTTTCAAATCACACCATTAAAGAACTGCACCTCAGGGAGCAAATCTGAGGGAGCAGCAACAGGCACCTTAACATCACACAGTCATTAACATCACACAACACCAATTAAAGCAGTGTCCAATTTCATAGAACAAATTTCAATGAACAAAACTTTTCCTATTTTCATTTCCCATGAATTGGGTTTGTTTAGCCTTGAGAAGAGGCTCAGGAGTGACCTCATGGATCTCTACAACTACCTGAAGGACCTGCAGGGAGAGGACTCAAGGGAATGGCCATAAACTGAGACAGGGGAGATTCAGAATAGATGTTAGGAAATTTTTTTTTCCCTGTGTGGGTGTTCAGGCAGTAGAATAGGGAATTGTCCAGGGAGGTGGTGGAGTCACCATCCCTGGAAGTGTTTAAGAGGTGTCTGGATGTGGCACTGGAGGATCTGGTTTAGGAGTTCCAGCAGTGAAAGGATAAGGGTTGGACTCGATGATCTTAGAGGTTTCCTCCAGCCTTGATGAAGCTATGATTCTATGAAACAAGCCCTCAATATGCACAAAGTGCCTCTTTACCACTATGGAACAGATCAAACATTATTTTCCCACCTAGCAAATAGACAACTTCATTTTGTTGAGCTAAGTGTAGTTGATAGGTAGCAACAGAAAGAAGTTTCTTGCCATCTCTTGATAGCAGAAACACTTCACGCAGTATCTTTCCACCAGATGAAATCTAGAGGCTTCTTAAACTCTGAATCACTTCACCTACCAGTTAGATATACCTCCTGGATAAAAGGGAGGAATAATAAGTAGAAGTCTGATGAGGAGAGAATATTTTATACTAAACTTCAGGGGTTGATTTCCTGGGATGCAACTTAAGTTTGATTCTAGAGTAAAAAAATTGTTCTAAAAAGCACAGTGACGCTTTACTGTTCAAGCAGTCAGGATCTTCATTTCATGTGATCTCCAAGAAAACAGCCCAAGGGAGGATGCAGTTTGCAGTCTCCCTCACAGGAGATATTCAAGAACCACCTGGACACAATCCTGTCTCATGTGCTCCAGGATGACCCTGCCTGAGCAGGGAGGTTAGACCTGATGACTCACTGTGGTGTCTTCCAACCTCACCCATTCTGGGACTCTGTGCCTCTGAATTTTGCTCAAAGATTTAAACTCTACAGCACAGAAGTCTTTCAATTGCCTCCATTTCCCTGACATGACCGAGGGAAATCCCTCTGCAGGCCTCTGGAAGGAGAACTGGACTTTGGCAGCCAAGGCACCACTTGAAGCCTCACCCTAACTTTTCATAACAACAGCAACACAAAACCAATGCTGTAAGCCCCAAACATGATTTTTAACTCACTAAAATGATACTGAATTATGACAATTCTGTCGAGTTGGCTTATGAAGATATTACATCCCTACATGATGGTAAGCTGTGATTTATTTCAAAAAGTAATTCTGCAAAAGCAGCCTGTGCCTATTGAAGGAACACAATGGCTATTGTGGAGCCCCAGCTTTGGAGACAGGGGGATGCTCTTTTGTTTGTCCTTTCACCTAATCTCTTCTTGGTTTATCTTGAAGCCAAAGCAGCCAAGCAGGCTGGTTCTCACATCCCTGGATGAATTCAAACCCTCAGCCAACTCATGCCTGCAGGTACATTTAGAAAATGGGAATTTTGTTCTAGAATTTCTCTTCTTAGCCTTGCAGTGAAGATAAGGATAATACTCAGATTATCTGTAACAGTGGCCTCTTGTGTGACTCTGGGCAAGTTGCTTGTGTCTGAATTCTCTGCACGGCTAAAAAGGGAGATCAGACCAAGTTGTTGCCACTTTTATCCATCTGTATTTGGAATGTGAACTCCACATGATGAGAACTGTCTCAGAGTTTGTTTGTGTGACATTCAGTACAAGTGCAGTACTCCATGGACAGAGAAATGTGGAGACTTACATACATATCATTACAGGAGGATATCTCCACTCTGGAGTAGTAAGGAATTCCCTAGAGTAATTAGGCAGACAAAGTGTTTTGTCCCTAAAACATAAATTTACAGAATTGTCACAGCTCAGAAGTTTAGTGTTGTCACTTTCAGCTGCTCTTCAGGCTATGAAGGTAACTGTGAACTTACTGAACCATTTGCTAAGGTGTCAGGACTTAACAGGTACAATTTGACAGCAAGGGAAAAGAAAAGCTTAGGGAAAAGCAAACAAGCTGGGCAGTGCTCATCCATCCAAAGGCACTGTGAGGGGGTGTGCAGGGTTAAGGACCTATCAAACTTTCTTTAAATTCAGTCTCAGAAACAGCTGATTTACTTCTGTCAAACTCACCCCCATCACCTCCTCCTTCCTGGCCCGAAGTTCTCATCAGTCAGTGAAAATTTACAAGTGAGTAAGTGCAGAGGAGCTGCAAGTTTCATGCCAGGGTTTTTTTTAAAGGAAGCAACTACAGTTCTGTGAAAAATATACAGAGAAAAACTAAGGACTCACCACCCTTGTAACACGCACGTGGTTTATAAATAGTTCAGAATTTCCACTCATGGCTGCTATAAAGGAGACATTTATACAATTTTTATTTTAACCAGAAAATTAGTAGGTGTAGCTCCTTGGTATTTTAATTACAGGATCTATCACAGGTTCCTTGTGCTCCAGCACATCACGCAACTCTACCACATGTTAACTACCTGTGTATCCACACTGAGCAGTTACTCCAGGATAACTGTTTCAAGGAGATAACGCATTGCTTCCATCCAGCATCCACAAAAGCAGCCAGAAGCACACACAGTGGGTTATTAAATTAGTGTATTGCCTTACTTAAGTGCACTTAAGTGGGGAAAAAGGTCCTGTTAATGTAGTTACCAGTCAGGCAAAAGCATCTTCTTGCTACTGCTGCTCAGAGTCTGCTCCTTCTCCCAGTAAACCTCATAAATGTCAAGTAAAAAAACCATGTTGTCTTTCTTTACTGGTAGCCTGTAAGAAGTTAATTAGCTTAAAAACATCAATATTTAAGGTTAACAGGACATAAAGAAGAACAGTTAGAAAAAATGCTATAGGCCCTGGATAGATCCTTGTTACAAACTCCTTCAGCATCAGCACAGGGAATCAGCTCATCAAAATCTAACCCTGTGATAGAGATTATTATTGTGCAGTGATAAGAGTGATATAACTAAAAAAAGAGAACAAAACCGAAAGAAATATGAGGCAAACTAGACATGTGATCAGAAATCAAAGTTTGGCTGATGCCAGGTCAGTTCTCTCCATTGCTGTAACTCCCAGGGAAAATACTGGTCTGCTGTTTGCATTCTCCAGAGGAATCTGCTATAATTAAGTTTTCCTTCACAGGAGACTGTGCAGTGACACTGGAGCAGGTTTAGAGACTATTCTATCTTGGCAAAACATTCTGCAAGATATAACATTCCTCTTTCCAGTTATAATGTTGTGCTCACCAGATCAGAACCTGCCCTTAAATAAAAATACAGTTGCATTATTAATATCCCTTTCAACATATTCATTAATATTAATATTTTATACATGTGTGCAAATAATTAGCATTTAGTCCTGCAAGGAGCAGGGACTTGGACTCAATGATCCTTATTGGTCCCTTCTAATTTGAGATGTTCAATGATTTTGTGTTTACATAAAAATAACCTTAAAAAAGTAGTCAATATGAAACTAAAGACCAACTTTTAAACTTTATTTCCTCACTCTAAGCAAACTTTGGCAGAAGACACAAAAAGAAATCACAGTATATCCAAGCACATGCTCAACACCGAAAATTGAAGGAAAGAATACTGAAAAACCCACTTCTAGACACACACAAAAAAAGTTAATTATCCACTTCTTGCACTTCTAGTTTTAGCAGCAGATAATCTAAATCTGTACTGCTGAAATATGCCCAAGGTGCCCTTAGTGATTAAAGTTAAGTAGCTTCTATCTGGCTGTTTTTAGAGCAATGTGATAGAAAAAATCAGGATTTGGGGGTATAAACCCTCCTCATCCCTCCCATGAACTGCACCACCCACGTAAATATACCAGAAACTGAACTCCCTTCCTGATGTGCTGAATTCAGAGGTAAACCATGACCTGCATGGGTCTAACCCACCACCCCCTGCCAAGCTGCAGTAGCTAAATTCCTAGCAAAGGAAGCAGACTCTGCTCTGTCTGCACTGGACAGCTCCTCAGTCTAACAAAACACCCAACACAGAAGAAAATCCAGAGCAGTTAACCCAAAGCACCAGCTTTGCCCCAACCTCTGTCATGAAATGTGAGTGCAAACAAAGCTGCACCTAAGAGGGAACTTTTCCCTTTTCACCTCTGCTTAAAACAAACAACAACACTGCCCTGAGAAACCACAACATCAGTTTGTGTTGTAGCCCAATACCTTAATTACACACTCCAACGGTGCTTTTCAAGTATTTTATTTAAATTTTAGGATTAAACACGTGTGAAATGTACAGCCTATTGAACAGGCTTCTTCTGACAAGCTTTCCACAAATTTGAGCAGCATAATAGGGCATGCTTTAAGAGGAAAACCCTGATTTTCTCCCTGTAAGTTCACCCTCTCCTCCACCCCCAACACAGCATTCAGAAACATTTCACGGCATCAGACACATTCCAAACCCTCTCTGCAAATCCCTTTGCCTCCTCTTTGCAGCCACAGAAGCTCCCATCAACTATAGCTACTCCAAATGCAAAGAAACAACAGCAGAAAAGTCGTGAAAATCTTGAATGTAGCTCTCCTAATGGGATGTAACAGCTGGAACAAAGATCTAACACAGCTGCGAAAGGCATCGTTTGCTTCTGGAACTGAGCAAAGAGGGGAGCAGAGATGACATG